TTCTGGAGAACACTTTTATAAGACTGTGACAGGAAATTTAATGAATTATGAGATTTTGTAATCTAGGATAATGGACCTTAGCATCAGACAATGCTTTCTTGCATTGCAATACATACTTTTTTGCATTGCAGTACATACTTTTTTGCATTGATGTAAATCTTGCAAGGATATAGAGAAATTTGTTTTCCAAATGATGTTAAGTTGTTCTAAAGAAATGATGAAAAATGGTGAAATGAGTTATTCTTGCAAAAAAAAAAAAAAAAAAAAGAAAAAATGATTAGGATTAGAAGCAGCAGCTGCAAGGAACACAACAAAGCTTCCCTGAATCCAGGAATTTATGATCCTGGCCCAGAGATGTAAAACATTAGCCAAAGAACCATTACAAAAAAAAAATAAATAAATGAAAAATGAATCCCAGTCAACCTCAAGAAATTAGTACGAAATGTTATGATAGGTTAATTGGAATTTTTTTGTTTGTTTTATGGAGACATGAACCACCAAGAAGAACAAGTAGAAACTGAGCACAAACTAGAGTCAGAGATAATAGATATTTGAGTAGAAGATTGAAAAAGACAAATCTTTTAAGATTTAGAGCCAGCAAGGTCAGTGGTACTAGTAATTGAGTGTGATGAACATAAAAATGGCCAATATTAGTCAACACATATTAATATTGGTCAAGAGATAAAAAGAAAGGCTTGATCTATTTGATCAAAAACATCATCGAGAAGAGTGCAGTCTCAGAAAAACACCATCGAGAAGAGTGCAGTCTCAGAAAAAAGAAAAACAATAAAGAAGAAAATGAAAAGTGATAGATTGAAGAGTGGTTAAGTAAAAGCACATAGAAATTCAGAGAATATAAACTTTCACAACAAGTTGATATATAAGTAAATGCCCAAATTAGGCATGTAACTAATGATTTCTTAACAAATCAAATGTCAAGATAAAAAAAAGCCATCAACACCAAGATAAAAAAAAGCAAGCTATATAAGTAAACTCTATAATGAAACAGCAAGCTCTATAGGTAGAGTCAAGGAGACCTAGCATTTATTAACTTACATCTATGGCAGCCTATTTGATAAAAAAAGGCTGGTCAACAAGATTTTCTTTTAGATTTTTTTGTTGTAGAAGAATATCAAGCAAAAATCAATTAAGACTATCACTTTTAATATCAAAATCTTGAAATATATATATTTTATAGCAAATTTTAGTCAACTATTTCTAAAAACTTTTGATATTGAATTTTTGCTAGTTTGCTAGACTTGAGTGATGAACAAAGATTTTAAACTAAATTTTGCAATAAAATTAAAAAAACTATTGACACAAGTATTCTTTTTAGTTAGATTGAAATAAAAGCTGATGCAAAGATACTGCAGTGCATATTATAAAAAACCTTAAAGAGGGTTTCTTCAGGAGACGTGTCAAAAGAAAAGCTAAAACTCTCCTGCCTCTTTTTTGAATATAAGTAGCCTTTAGTCAAAGTGACTTTTTAACAGAGCAACAAAACCAATACCAATTTAATTTTGCAGGTTTTTCAATATTTTTATCAGTAATACTTAATTGAAACTTATGATAAGGGGTCTTGTTGACTAGGAGATTTAGATATTGCTACAACATTTTAAAATATTATATTTCTCTTAGCCACTTACGTTAGACCCTGTTTTAAAACTGCCATGAATATAATGGAAACCACAGTTTTGGATATCTATAAGATTGATTTTTCCAAACTTTTTCTTTATCCCTTTAAATTATGTAGAAAGAGCAAGCGACTTGAGCGCACACACATATACATATATAAACACAAAAATAAAAAAATAATTCAAATTTTAAAAATAAACCAATAATTATGAAAAGGGGTCTTGTTTTATTTGTCAATATTTATGCAGTTTTGGCCATATTGCGCCTGGTTTTGTTTTATTAAACTTAATTAATAGCTAAATGGTCAAATAATAGCTATGGGGCAATTCCATGTGAAAACATTTTTTTATAAAATGCAATCTTAAGTCTCAGACTTTTCAAACTTTGCCTTAAACTAACAAAAATCCACCATTTTAAGAAATGGATTTGGTCTTTGTTTATGTTTTGTGTGCAATGGAAAGCTGAAAATGTGTACACTTATTTACATATTATATATACATATTTTGAGGCAAGGAATCCAATAAAACAACTTAAAATATTTTAATTTTGACCTTTATTGCAATTTTACTGGGGTAAATTTAATTACAAAAATGACAAAGTAGTTTGATTTATTTTTGGATGTTGTCCTGAATAGTTTAGTTCAAGTTGTTACAAAGAATTGGAAAGTGGTCTTTTTATAAACAGGAAAAAAAACATGGTCAAATATACTTGAAACTTAAAAAACTGGAATTATAAAAATCAAAGGAAAAAAGGTACTTTTAAGTGCTTAATAATTTTTGAAAAAATTTTTCATTCCACCTTGAGGTTATCAAGAACCCCTACCCCCGTTTATTAAATTTTACTCAGGAATGTTGAGCCCCAAAATAGACTCCGGTTTGAAAGTCACAAACAGATTACTTCTTCCTACTTTTTAGTATCCAGGAGCTCTAAAAATATAAAAAAGCTTAAGGACTACTAATGGGGAAAAAATTAAAACTTTTAGTTTTTGAACCTGGAGCTCTTAGGTATAATGGCAGCAAGTCATTAAATCTAATGAATTTTTTTCTTTTAGCAGATCCCTCATTTTACTTGTTATGAACAAAGAAACTGTATTTCAAAACTAAAAAAAAATAACTTTTAGTTATCTACTAATTTCTGAGACTGGTTTAGGTCTGCTCACTTAGAGAAATAAAAATTCCTACCCCCGTGTTTCCCATGCCCATTTCATCCCATGCCCATTTCCACCCCCTCCCAATCTTTTTCTAACTCCCCTTATTTATTACATTATGATTTGTCTATTGATTGAAAGAGTTTAACAAGTTTACTTGGCTAAATTTTAAGTGCAAGACCAGTTTTATAATTATTTCTCTTCCTTTATTTACAACAACTCTAAATACAATTGAAAAAGATAGCGCCAAATTAGAAAACATCATCTCCTGAATTAGCTATAACAATTAACATAATTGCAGTATGTTGCCTAACTGGAAGTCCCTTGCCTACTGCTGTGAGAACTAATTTCTTTAAAATATTTTTAGATAAAAAAAAACATGTGTTTATATCTGTTATGATATTATTTTAAAACTACTTCCTTTAAAATATTTTTAGGTAAAAAAAACTAGAAGAGGTAGACGAGTTTATATCTGCTACAATATTTGATTATTACATTCTGACTATGAATTATCTTTTAGGCTCAATTTTATGAACTATTAAATGCCAAATAAAATAATAAATGCTCCATCATTTAAAAAATGTTGTGGCACATATAATGTAAAAAATGATAAAATAATGAAATGCTGAAAGTAATGGTGATTGAAAGTGATAGTAAACAACTTTATTAAATATTATTTTTTTTATCAATAATTGTCTCGAACAATTCTTGCCCACTGTTCAATAAAAAAACAACTGTTTATTATTCATTACAATTAGTCAAAACTTGTTTAGTATAGCAATAAAAATTTAATAAAATATTTAGAAACATTACTAAAAAAACTATGATTTTAAGTTAGGACCATAACACAATGTACAGTGGGAATTAAAGGATGAATGAGATTTTTATTCAAATGTAATAAATGGGGGGAGATTGGAAAAGAAGGAGGAGGGGGGGGGGAGGACAAGCATTCTTAAGAAACAGGTGAGTAGGAATTTTCTTTCTGAGTTTATATTTTCTAGTTTTAATACCTAAACCGACTCAAAAATTAGAAAATAATAACTGAAATTTTTTTAGATATGAGATTTCTTTGACAGTTTCTTTGTTAATAACAAGTAAAATTTAATAAACTAATTTAATAAGCTCAAGATGGATAGAAAAATTTTCCGAAAATTATGAAACACCAATTTCTGTGTACTTAAGACTTTTTTTTTTCCTTTGATTTTTCATAATTCCTGTTTTTTAAGTAGCAAATTTAAGTAAATTTGACCATGTCTTTTTTTCTGTTTAAGAAAAGATCACAGTCCAATTCTTTGTAAGAACTCTAACTTAACTATTCAGGACAACATCTTAAAAAAACAAACAAATTTTTTTTTTTAGAATAAGATAAAAAACTCATTAATTATACACAGTATTAAGCACCAAACAAATTTCAGCTTAAAGAATGGATGTATTTATTATATTCACCTAACAATGTTTTTAGTGTCTTGCTTATTATTTAAACTTTCAGGCTCAAAACTAAAAAAAATTAAAAAACTGAAACAATTTAAGAGCAGTTAGCATCCCACCAGTGGGATGCAGTGGTACACAAGTGGGAGCAGTAGGTGGTATTAATGATTTAATACTGTTGCTAAAGTGAAATCTTTTTATATGCTTATTAACTTTCATATGTTAAAGGAGCTTCTCTCATATTAGAAATGATGTTATCTTTAGAACACTAACTGTATATTACAACAATGTCTGTTTTTTTTTTTAATAATGTTAAAAATTTTTTAGAATCTTTAGAATACTTAATAAAATAAAAAATGTTTTTCTTTTTTTTCAAAATTCCCTGAAAACATTTCACTAAAGTAAGAATTTCTGTTGAAAACAGTAAGCTACTTTATTTACAATATGTATGATATATGTTATAATGAAAGTGGCCCCAAGAAGAATTTTTATTGATGCTTATCATAAACAAAAGTAAAAAAATCAATGAATATTACTTAAAAAAGTAATTTAAATATAATTAATAATTTAAAAATGTATATATATTTAAAAAGTAAAAACTAAATAATCAACTGTTATCAGCTAAAAAAATATGTTTAACCATTGCATCACAAATATTTTTAAAATAATTATAAAAATTACTTTTTCATAACATTTATTAACAGAAATATATTAATTGTTGGATTTTAATATACCTTTAAAAAAAAAAAATAATAAAATTTTTTTATTATATATGAAATTGGTTAAAAACCTTTTTTCTGAGTTGTTTTTGCTACAAGTCCAGATGAAATTAATTGGCTTATAACATTGTGACTATTGGATGATTCATAAAGTTCAACTGAATATACCCCGTCTGAAAAATCTAACACATTCATTAGTAACTCTTTGTCCATTGTGAGCTCTTCAAATTTTTCACATGCTGCTTGTGAAAACACCTGAGATGTTCCTAAAAAAACATATTCAAAATAAAAAGGTTTCAGTAAGCACCATCTACAGGGTGGCCACATAAACTTTTTATAAGAAAAAGAGGATATTAAAGGAATTTTTTTATAGTAGTGATGTACCGATTAATCGGTATCGGCATTGGCTAAATCGGCCATTTTTTGCACAATCGGTATCGGCCTTTTTTACCGATTTTCCAACCGATGGCATTTTGATATTTTTATCCTGCATTATTTTTTTGTGCATTATTATAATAATTAAATAATAAATAAACTAAACTTTGTGCATTACTTAAAACTTTTTAAATAAATTTTTATTTTGACTTTGTTTACAGGCAAAAGCTTTAAAAGTAACCTATTTAAGCATTGTTATCTATATATTTTTAATTCTTTTTCACTCCCAATAAGGTTTCAAGCAACCACATCAAGTTGGGAGTTGCTAGAAAAAAAGAGTAGAGTTATAGAGCAATGAAGTGGTTGACAGAAGATTTAAAAAGTTGAAGGTTGTATGAGTCAGGAAAACATAAGATGGAGCAGAGTTCCAAAGGGTTGAAGTGTGTGGAAATAAGCTAGACAAATAAACGTTTTTGGAGCATGAAGAGACAGATACAGTCGAAGAATGAGACTTTAATGTCAAGTCAAGCAAAAATGAGTTTTGATTGATGGAACTAAAGATGAAAGCTCCTTTGAGCAGCAACCATGATAATATTTGTAGAAAAGAGAAAGAGATGCAACTTTACGATGATGGCAAAGAGGCTCAAGCTTTGCAGATAAACCGGGTCCAACTCTGTTTACAATGCTTTTTTAAACCTTATCTTGAAGAGAAAGAAAATGTAGGGCATGGAATCAGGAGAGAAAAAATGGTGAGCATGATAAAAAGAAGCAACCTTAGCAGATGCTAATTTAGCAATCGATTGTATATATGGTTTCCATGAAAAGTCAGTAGTAAATGATAATCCAAGAAGACGTAAAGAAGTGGAATCAGTGAGAGGCTGATTCCACTTATTTACGTTTTCTTGGATTATTGCCATTCATCAATAGAGGAATGTCGACAGTCCTACAATAGTTATTTGTCTGACAGTTAGTTATTTGACTCGAGATGAAATGTGAAAAATTTGTTTATCAAAGACTCTAAGACCTTGCTAATAACAGAAAGAAGACTGATTGGACAATAATCGGAGGGGTCAGTAAGTTTACCAGGGTGTTTAAAAATAAGAACAGATGCCATTTTCCAGCAGGCAGGAAAACAAAATTCAGTCAAGCACTTATTAAATAGTTTAGAGAAAATTGAAGAGAGTTCTGGAGAACAATTTTGTAAGACTGTGACAGGAATGTTGTCTGAACCACAAGCCATAGAAGAGTTTAATCGAGATATGACTATGAGTAATGGAAGGTGAAATGATTCAAATGTCTAACATTAGGTTAACTTGTTTAATTAGAATGAAAGGAAGAGAATGGCCATAAGATTCGAAAGCCAGATTAGAAGAGAATTTTTTTGCAAATAGTTCAGCCTTATTTCATGAATTTAAGTATAGCCAAGTATCAAGTATATTTCTGAATTTATAATTTTTTTATTTCAATTCACCTCCCTTCAATTGAAGATTCTACTTTAGTTATGGTTACAACCCATTTTCAACTTTAGAACTCAGAAACACAAACCTTGATGAGCAATGCCGCTGCGTGTAGAAACAAGTTAAGCGCTGTATTACCAGAGACGTGGTGGGGATCCAACATTAAAAATTAAAATAATTCTAAAAACAATTTCTTCATCTAAAAATAATTTGTTTAAACAACATATGATTGTTGTTTAGATATCTGAATTACTAATAAATTAATAAAGAATTCTTAGTAAACTGCATATGCATATTTTCTTTTTTTAAAATTAAAATAAAAAGTGTTCCTCTAAAATTGTATTTATTTTTTTGAAAGTTTTTTTTTCATAGTGGAAAAAAATTAAAATTTATATTTTTTTAACTGAGTTTTTCTAATATCTGTTAAAAATAATTATTTGGCTTTGATTTGAGTCCAAGTATTTGTTTACCAATACCAATTTAAAGTTGTATGGTTTTATATTTTCAAATTTTTAATAATTAGTTAATTCATCGGTATCGGCATCGGCCTTTTCCCATTCATCGGCATCGGTATTGGCATCGGCCAAAAAAGTGATATCGGTACATCACTATTTTATACATTTAGCATCCATGTTTTTAAACTGTTTTAAATGTTTTTAAATGGTTTTTTTCAGGTTTTGGACGTCAATAATATAATTTTTTGTTATGACATAGATTTGCTAAAACTTTTTTACAATCTAACGCTAGTTTTAGACATCAACCAGGTATTTTCAACTTTATAGTACCATGAAGAAATAAAAACAATAAAAAAGAGATCACATTAACTTTTTAGAGGATAATAGATTTTAAAGGAGATTTTTGGAAAAAGAGGACTTTAGAGGAGCTGTGACCACTATGATCTATGTTTAAAATTTATAAGTAATATATATTTAACACACACATAAAGGTTGGAAAGAAATAATGAGAAAAAAAATAACTTTTTTTAATTTTTTTTATTTGATATATGACATAATTTGTATAATACCATTTAAAGGTTTTATTCCAGCTAAACGACATTCAACAGCTTGTTTTGGTAGTTTAATAAACTCTTTTCGTAAAGGTTTCAATTCATTTAACGCCTTTGACTCAGAATTTCCATAGTCAACAAAAAAAACCTATAATAAAAAATTTATTAGTAAAGTGAAATGAAGGTTTCATCAAAAAAAGTATTTAAAACCAAAAAAATTAATAAAGCTAATAAAAAAAATAAAAATAAAATAAAAACCCTTTTAATATTTAAAAGTCTTTTGCAAAAATTTTTTTTAATTAATTTTTTGAGGAAATTAGAATTCAGTTTTTTTTCAGACAAAATTTCAATAAAAAAATGCTTTCCAGATCGATCACTCTATCAATCAATCATTTCTTTTGAAAACAAGGAATCTCTTTTGTTTTTAAGTAAAAATTTAAATTAAAAACACAACTTTTAACAAAAAAAAAAAAAAAAAAAAAAAAAAAACAAAAAAAAAAACCACCTTCCAAAAAAAATGTGTTTGTTACTTAAACCTTTGCTATGCTTGTAGTATTACACTCAGCTTCTTTCTCACAGGGGCATTGTTAATCAAGATTAGTATTTTATAAAAAAAAGTTATAACAATTAAAAAAAAAAGATAGCTTCCTGGACTGAAGTGTCCAAAATTCCAAAACTCAGGCTTTGGAAAGGTATATGCATTTAAAATGCTAAAAAACAAAAAAAAAAACAAAAAAAACAATTTCTTACAGTAAAATTATTTTAAAATCCTTATAAAACATATAATTAACCATTAAATATATAATTAACCATATTAAAAATATCAAACATATCTCTGAAAAAAAGTTTCATTTCCTCATTAAGAATTTATTTCTAAACTAGTTGAAAATCAATTAAAAAAAAAAATTATCTGAAGAGTACAAGCAGAATTTTTTTTTTTAATTAGCATTTTATGCATACGAGTATCATTGCAAAAAAAAAATTGTTTATTTTTCTACAATTGATTGTCCCAAATGTAAAAAAAATATATATGAGTGGGTCAGAAGCCAAGGGGTACAAGTGACATTTTCATAGTTTTGAGATACAGCTGTTTAATGTTAAAGTATTTTTGTTAAATATACTCAGCTGTTGTTATGTTTTTCCAGTAGAAAGCAGCACAGGGCAGAGATTCACTTGTATCCCTTGGCCACCAAGAATTTTGTTTGCTTCTTCAATCAAATTCTATACTTAACTTAATTTTGGTAAAATTGTCACTTGTACCCTCTTGGCTTCTGACCCACTCATATACTACATGAAAAGCTTATTTGTTTTCATGTGGCAACTTATCTAAAAAAATTAACTTTAAAAAATTAATTTTAAATAAGTTAAAAATAATTGGTTGATAAGTACACATACATTTGCATTAATCAACAAAATTTTGCAACTAATAAGACTAATTTTGCATTAGCTACCTTATTTTATCACTACATTTACTTTGATTTTATCAGGGTTTAGTTTTGTTACAGTTGCTATCCACAAAATTGAAAATAAACCATTTTGTTTCACTTACACATTCAAAGAATTTATTTAAAGAATGTAATATTTTCTTCTGTTTTCTGAGTTTAATTTTTAAATAATGTCAAGAAAGTGTAAAATTGAAGAAGTTATGTAGTAACATAAAGTTTAAAACTCAGCAAAGAAACCTTACACCATTAACTAAGTTATATAAACAGTTTTTTGGATTTGCCATCACACAAGAGAAAGCTTAGGTTCTACAGATGTTGTACTAAATGTGTCTTACTTGATAAGCAAGATCTCCATCTATGCCTTTTGCTATTTCAATGATTTGGACAAAAACATTGAACCACTCTGATTGTTATTCTTACTTTTGTTATATACTTTTTTTTACTGATACTCAAGGTATAACTAGGACTACCTATATCAGAGTCTTGAAATTCCAATCTGGCTGGTACAGAAACAATCATAAACGATATGTGAGATCCTGACTTTTAAGAAGATTCCTTATCTAATGAACTTTATCTACTATCTCAAGGAGATTTCAATGATTTGAACTTTGATTTGTTTAAACAGCAAACAGAACTTTTGTCTTATTACAGTACTTTTAATATATTAATTATCCACTGGTTTGTATATTACTACTGTTATCAAGGAATTTTTGAGCTATATTATCTTATATTGTGTGGTCAGCTTTGTTTTAATTTTCACATGCACGGTTTTCGTCTTTTATTTTTTAGAAAGTTTCTTATATCCTTCACTACATGTTTAAATCTTTACATTTTTGCAGGATATATATATTTATATACTTTTAGGCTCTTGATTAAAGAAATTAAAGATTAAAGAAACATTCTACTTACTCAAACAATACCTAAAAGATTTTTTACAAGATGATCAGCTGGTATTTTGTAATAATGCTACAGGCGTAATGACTGTCTTGTGTATAGAATATAAAGTAGAAGAGTGGCATTTGCCACTTTTTATTAGGCAGGACTTCCAACATATAGGAGTTTTTTAAAACTATTAAATTTATCTTTTAAAAAATTCAATATGACAAACACAACTAGAAAGTTTGTAGATATTTGAAGATGATTAAGAGTGATGGTTTTTTATATTTGAAAAAAAAAATTTCCAAAACTTAGGCAAAAATTAAAGAGGGCATATTTGTTAGCCCTTATATCAGGCACTTGTTGAAAGATGATATATTTAAAAAAAAACTATAGCTATTTGAAAAATCAGCTTGGGAATCTTTCATGAAAGTAACCAACTTTATAGGAAATCACCAACCAATCTATAATATAAATGTTTTATTGTTGAACCGTTATTTATATGCGGTAGTGGTGTAGTGGTAAAACACTCGCTTCATAAGCGAGAGGTTCCAAGTTCGATCCCCACCACGTCCCTGGTAGTACCACGCTCAACTTGTTTCTCCGCGCAGCGGCCTTGTTCGTAAAGGTTCATGTTTCGGAGTTATAGAGTTGAGAGAGGGTTATAACCACTATTAAGTAGCCTCCTCGTCTGTAGTGGCCTTCTTGGCCTTAAGGAGGTGAATAAAAAAAAAAAAAAAAAAAAAAAATTTACTTATAAGGCTTATATATTATATATCATTGAAAATACATTTTATTGAAAATACTTATTACTTATATATCATTGAAAATACATTTTCTTTATTCACATTTAAACTTCTTTCCTAAAAATTCGAAGACCATTAGCAATGACTGTATTCAAAGAGTCACTTAAGACATTTTTAACATAGAAAAGCGGTATCAGGGCAAGTGGAGCCTATGTATGCTAGTGAATTACTGACAGACAACGAGAACATCTCTGAAACAAAAATAAGCAAAAATAATAAAACTAAATAAACATAAATGTTACAATATAATGCAGCAATTTTTTTTTTGTTGATTAAAAAAAATAAATTTTTAAAATGTAGATTAAGCATTCTAACTTAATTTCTGTTATGCTTATTTTATCCTAAACATAAAAAGACTAAAGTTTTCATGTTGCATGCAAAAGGTGTTTTTTTTGTTGATTAGTGCTATTATTTTAATTAAATAATCAAAATCAGTTCATAAAATCAAAATTCCTTGCACCGCATGATAAAAAAAAACTCTTCATATGTTGAATTAAATACAGTTTAATAATAAATTTTTATTATGAATAAAATGAGCCACTTTCTTTTGTAAATTCTAGTAGAAAAATATTGTTTGTGGTAGTATCAATTTTGCATCATCACAAAAATTGTCAAAATACAAAGACTATAAATATTTCTTTATATAAAACTGCTCTTTCTTTATTATATGAGTTTCAATATAATAACTTTTTAACATAGTTTATTGCTATATTTTTTTCAAATATAAATAAGTAAAATTTTAACTATTTTGGGTTTCTGGTAAAATTTCGTAGTTCATCCTTTACAATTTAAAGTCTTTTGCCATTCAAAGTTACCATATAGTTACATACAGATCTTCTTTTTAATTGGTGTTGCTTTGTTAATGGTCTTTATTAGTTTATTCTAGGGGTGTACCGGATTGGAAATTCCAGCCAGAACCAGAACTGTCAAAAAAAATTCCTCAAAACAAAGTCGATATTGGAAAAAATAACTGATTGTTACATCACTTAAATTGCTTATTAAATCAGTCGTTTTATAGATAAAATTATTTAAGTTAGTCAATGATTATTATGAGAAAGATTTTGTTCAATTTTAAATTATGGAAAAATATTCATATTGATAAAATTTTTGTTAAATTAGAACGATTAATTGTTTTTTCATAAACAAAAATTGTAACGTTTTTAAATATAAATAATTTGTGCGAGTTTTTATAAAATTGCTCTAATTGTATGTTCTACAGATATTTAAAAAGTAGTTAAATATTCTTTCTGTATATACAAATAAATAAATAATGCATTTTATTTCTATTTGAAAGTATTCCGTATTCATACATTTCAGGGATCGCAAATACATTAAAACTAATATTTAACATTATAAACTTTAGCAACCACTTTTTTTTAAAGAACATAGTTGTAAAGTCCATGTTTGTTGTAATTATAGCTTCTTCTATTTTTTAAGATTTTACATAGAATATAAAATCTTAAAAATTGTATACATTTAATTTGAAGTTGAAGTTGATAAGACCATAAGGACTTCTTGGGACACGTAAAAAAAAGAATTTGTTATACCATTGTTTTTATAATGTTAATAAACATTCTCTCTTGTACTAACGCTTGTACTTAATAATTTATTTTTCATTACTTCTCTACGACTCAGGGTGTTCCATATAGCACACATTTTTTTTCATGAGCGAAAATTTACAAATATTTATAATCTATTAATCTTTAAATTATTAGCTATTAAAACAATTATATATTTTAATAATATGACTAAATAATGGTACAGTTATTTAGCCAGTTGTTATTATAACATGTTGATTTAACTGGATAAGGTCAGTTTTTTATTGATATATATATATATATATATATGTGTGTGTGTGTGTGTGTGTGTGTGTGTGTGTGTGTGTGTGTGTGTGTGTGTGTGTGTGTGTGTGTATATATATATATTTAAATATATATACAAATGTGGGCCTTCAAATCAAGTATATTTGGCGAAATCCCACATACATTGGCCTTTTTGAAAAAAACCCACATGTGCTTTTT